TAGATCCATATCTGATTGTCAATATTAGCGTCTATAGTACTACCACTTGACAAAAGAACAACTTGAATATTTGAAAAATACATATAATTTTTGGGTATGATTCTGTATAATAATAGATTTGCATTAAAAAGCGACAAAATATGGAAAAACATGAAAAATAGCTTCTAAAAATAGCGTATCAAGGATCTGAACTGATATATACCAATTGGTTCTACTTTTTATACTCTCTGGCTATAGGTGTTCAGTAAGTATTTCTGGCTATAAGTGTTCAGTGAGTATTTCTGGCCATAGTGAGTATTTCTGGCTATAAGTGTTCAGTGAGTATTTCTGGCCATAAGTGTTCAGTGAGTATTTCTGGCCATAAGTGTTCAGTGAGTATTTCTGGCTAAGTGTTCAGTGAGTTTTTCTGGCTAAAATTGTTCAGTGAGTATTTCTGGCTATAAGTGTTCAGTGAGTATTTCTGGCTAAAAGTGTTCAGTGAGTATTTCTGGCTATAAGTGTTCAGTGAGTATTTCTGGCTATAAGTGTTCAGTGAGTATTTCTGGCTATAAGTGTTTAGTGAGTATTTCTGGCCATAAGTGTTCAGTGAGTATTTCTGGCCATAAGTTTTCAGTGAGTATTTATGGCAATAAGTGTTCAGTGAGTATTTATGGCAATAAGTGTTCAGTGAGTATTTCTGGCTAAGTGTTCAGTGAGTATTTCTGGCTAAGTGTTCAGTGAGTATTTCTGGCTAAGTGTTCAGTGAGTATTTCTGGCCATAAGTTTTCAGTGAGTATTTATGGCAATAAGTGTTCAGTGAGTATTTATGGCTATAAGTGTTCAGTGAGTATTTCTGGCTAAGTGTTCAGTGAGTATTTCTGGCTAAGTGTTCAGTGAGTATTTCTGGCTAAGTGTTCAGTGAGTATTTCTGGCTAAGTGTTCAGTGAGTATTTCTGGCCATAAGTGTTCAGTGAGTATTTCTGGCCATAAGTTTTCAGTGAGTATTTATGGCAATAAGTGTTCAGTGAGTATTTATGGCTATAGGTGTTCAGTGAGTATTTCTGGCTAAGTGTTCAGTGAGTATTTCTGGCTAAGTGTTCAGTGAGTATTTCTGGCTAAGTGTTCAGTGAGTAATTCTGGCTAAAAGTGTTCAGTGAGTATTTCTGGCTATAAGTGTTCAGTGAGTATTTCTGGCTAAGTGTTCAGTGAGTATTTCTGGCCATAAGTGTTCAGTGAGTATTTCTGGCTATAAGTGTTCAGTGAGTATTTATGGCAAAAAGTTTTCAGTGAGTATTTCTGGCCATAAGTGTTCAGTGAGTATTTCTGGCTATAAGTGTTCAGTGAGTATTTCTGGCTATAAGTGTTCAGTGAGTATTTCTGGCCATAAGTGTTCAGTGAGTATTTCTGGCTATAAGTGTTCAGTGAGTATTTATGGCAATAAGTTTTCAGTGAGTATTTCTGGCTATAAGTGTTCAGTGAGTATTTCTGGCTATAAGTGTTCAGTGAGTATTTCTGGCCATAAGTGTTCAGTGAGTATTTCTGGCTAAGTGTTCAGTGAGTATTTCTGGCTAAAATTGTTCAGTGAGTATTTCTGGCTATAAGTGTTCAGTGAGTATTTCTGGCTATAAGTGTTCAGTGAGTATTTCTGGCTATAAGTGTTTAGTGAGTATTTCTGGCCATAAGTGTTCAGTGAGTATTTCTGGCCATAAGTTTTCAGTGAGTATTTATGGCAATAAGTGTTCAGTGAGTATTTATGGCAATAAGTGTTCAGTGAGTATTTCTGGCTATAAGTGTTCAGTGAGTATTTCTGGCTAAGTGTTCAGTGAGTATTTCTGGCTAAGTGTTCAGTGAGTATTTCTGGCCATAAGTTTTCAGTGAGTATTTATGGCAATAAGTGTTCAGTGAGTATTTATGGCAATAAGTGTTCAGTGAGTATTTATGGCTAAGTGTTCAGTGAGTATTTCTGGCTAAGTGTTCAGTGTGTATTTCTGGCCATAAGTTTTCAGTGAGTATTTATGGCAATAAGTGTTCAGTGAGTATATATGGCTATAAGTGTTCAGTGAGTATTTCTGGCTAAGTGTTCAGTGAGTATTTCTGGCTAAGTGTTCAGTGAGTATTTCTGGCTAAGTGTTCAGTGAGTAATTCTGGCTAAAAGTGTTCAGTGAGTATTTCTGGCTATAAGTGTTCAGTGAGTATTTCTGGCTAAGTGTTCAGTGAGTATTTCTGGCCATAAGTGTTCAGTGAGTATTTCTGGCTATAAGTGTTCAGTGAGTATTTCTGGCTAAGTGTTCAGTGAGTATTTCTGGCTATAAGTGTTCAGTGAGTATTTCTGGCTATAAGTGTAATCCCACACTTTGACTCATAATAAATCATAGCTGTTGCTATTTTCACTATGTTAGTATGTAAATGCATTGTTTTCACGATCAAAATAGCAACACCAGAGTATGCCTTCATGTTGTAATCGCTGATTAGTAGATCTAAAACAGTGATGCATCAAAGTATTCCGCACGCAAGAACTAACAGGTGACACTTAACAGGTTCTACACTTATGATTGTTTTTGTTTTTTTAATATATTGTGAAAGCAGCCACTAAAATGACAAGATGTTAGAATATGTTATTCCTGGAACAATATGTTCATATTTAACTTCTTCCAATCATTGCGTTCAAATGCTTTCACCAGTAGCTCGTGGGAGCAAACTGTATGTACAGTTGATTAAACTGAAACTTCCGGGCTATTGTACAAGACACTATTACTCACAATAATATTAACTTAGTGTGTAAAAATAATGCCAAACATAGCCAGAAGTACACCATGTTTGTTTGTTTGTTTGTTTTTTAACGCAACAGAAGTATTTTTTAACGCAGCAATATTCCAGCTATATAATGGTGGTCTGTAAATAATCTAACCTGGACCGGACACTCCAGTGATTGACATCATGAGCATCGATCCACACAATTGAGATACGATGACATGCATCAACCAAGTCAGTGAGCCTGATAACCCGATCCCTTTAGTCACCTCTTACGACAAGCATGGGTTGCTGAAGACTTGAGCTACAGATAAGCTACTGATAATGTAAAAAATAACATGCATAAATACCCAATGAAGCTTTTTCAGCATACGTACAAAGGAGCTAATTTCCGAGACACAATTACACACTAATTTACTTTCCCAGTCAAGCCTATATATTTAGAACAGCAAAATACATCGAAAACATTATTTCATTTTTTTCAATCTTAAAATATTCACTAATTTTGGGAAAACCCCAATAGAGTGATGAATAGATCAGTGAAAAAATATTGGTTACCCAATGAAAAATGTAATAACCCAATTAAAATAGAAACCCTAGAGTGAAAACTAAATTGCTCAAAAAGGTCTCTGATACCTATACTAAACAACAAAAGTTCCTGTGACATTGAATAAGATTTAATGCAAAGTTATGTTTTTTTACCAAATCTGAAACAATTTCAGTTTGCAACAGATAAAAGACTCCTGTAAGTGTTCAAATGGTTTAATTTGCCATGCTGACTTCAGAAAATGTGTAATTTCATAAAAAACATGAACATGCCAAAATGTCAATTGACAAATCAATAGCATGTGTGTCCACCTCTGGTTGCGATGCAAGCAACACATCTTTGTCTCATTGAATGGACCAGGCATCGCACAAAGTCCTGTGGGATATCTGTCCATATCTGCTGGAGCATGTTTCGAAGTTCCTGGAGTGTCTGTGGAACACGTGGTTGACGTCAAAGGGGCCGATCCATCTCATCCCACATGTGCTTGATTGGTGAGAGATCAGGGGAGCGAGCGTTGTTTTGTTGAAGAGAATCCTGAACAAGTCGAGCAATATGAGGCCGGGCGTTGTCATGTTGAAAGGTAATGCCCGGGCCATGACGACGCAAAAACAGTAGAACAACAGGGACGATGATCTCGTCGCGGTAGCGCTGTCCATTGATATTTCCCTCAACCACTATCTAACGGGTCCTCTGTCTTGCTGTAATCCAACCCTGCCGCCCCCGAACTAATCTTCTTCCATGACACAATGATTGACGTAATGTTCACCTCGACGTCGGTACACTTGAATCCGTCCATCGCTGTGGCTGAGGTGAAAACGAGACTCGTCAGTGAATAGAACTTGTCCCCACTGCATGGCCGTCCAGCGTAGATGCTGTATGCACCACTGTAGACGTGCTTGACGGTGGTTTCCTGTCAAAATGGGATGTCTGGCGGGTCTTCTGGCGACAATCCCTGCACATCTGAGGCGACGACGTACGGTTTGTGAAGATATTCGTCGAAGGCCAGGGATGCCTCTGGCAGTCACTGTTGCTGGCTGGAATCGATTTCGTAGGTGTGTTGTTCGAATCCAGTTGTCTTGTCAATCATTGGTTACGCGTGGCCTGCCATTCCGAGGATGGTCTCTGACTGCATTCGTCTGTTGCCAATGTTGCCATAAACACCAAATGGTGTTTCTGTGGACGTTTAATTGTCTTGCAACATCCTGCTTCAAGCATACCAATGGCTCGCAGACTCATTTTCGGACAGTAGTGAAATGCATGGGGCTTGCATAAGTCAACTTTTGCATGGAATGCATGCTTTTCTGTAGCAGTTGCATTTTTGTGATTTGATTCCATACATGTACTACAATATTGAAAACCAAACTTTACTTGTTTGAAAAACACACTAAAATATTGGTGTCACAGGAACTTTTGTTGTTGAGTATATTTTCTACCCTGATCTTCACGGTCAACACAAAATGTACATTTATACTTATGTCTTGTAACCTTCTATAGCAAAAGGGAGAGTGCATAGTACACACAAGATGATATGGTAGTTGCCAATACATACTGATGTGAGGTAGCCACAGTAGCAGTATCATGATAAGTTATCGATGCTAAACGTAGAATTTTGGTTACATTGGTGAACAAACTGATCGTTTAATATGAAAAGGCTACACAGTGATAAAACAGAATAGTACTCTCCACTATGTGTTTACAAAGAGAATGTCTCTAGGGATCTCACCTTGTCTTCCCAATGTGGATAGATGTCTGACAGGAAAGACACATACTCCGTCATGGCTTCCTTGCGACTCATGGTTCCCAGTTTCTTCCATGCTTCCCTAGAAGCAAAGAATTGTTTTTGCAAAGAATTTTCAGAATTTAGCAATGTATCCCCAAGGCACTGTTGCTCAATGGGAACAATCCAAGATGAATGTAAATGTATAGTGATCAAGATCAAGATGTTTATTTGAATAAAAGTCCTCTGGACCATATACATGGAGTTACAAGTTCAAATCTTTGATCTTTAAGCAAGGAAAGTAGGCTATTGAATGGCTGTTTTGTGTTTTCTGTTTAATGTCATTGGAGTGTATGCTGTTAATGTAATACTCCAGTTTTTTATATCCAAGACTAAAGAGTGTCGTACATTATCAGTCAAATTTTGAGTGCAGATGATGGTGCCTAAAAAAACTTATAATTGTACAGGCAGTACATGCCCCATCACCTTGAAATTCTCCAAAGATTCTGATTCTTTAGTTTTATATTCTTATTTTCCATGCCATGGTTAACTTAACACCACTGTTCTACTTATTCCACCAAAATAGCAGCTCTCTCAACCTTCTTGTTTCAGAGAAAAAGTCACAACTGATGTACATATTTTTCATTTGTATAAATGTTAAATTACTGTTAAAATTTTAAAAACAAAATTTGACAATTCCAGACTATGAGTGAGTGAGTGAGTGAGTTGGATTTAATGCCGCTTTTAAACAGTATTCCAGTTACATCACGGCGTGTCAGCTTAATGTGGGAGGAAAGCCCGAAGTGATGCAGGTCTCAGACGTTTACCACTTCAGTGAAACCCACGAGCACTGGTATGGTGCTAACAAACCTAGAAACATAATCGGGGCGAACCAGGATTCGAACCCACAATCACAGGTTTCTGGCGTGCCCAAGGGACGCAACTCTGCACAGCGAATCGCGCCTCAGACGACTGGGTCACCCGTGCCCCCCACCTATATACTGATGTGCATGTATGTGTGTGTGCGGTTACTCGAACTAGTCCGGACGTATTCTGGGTTTATTGTGCTAGCCTACTGAGATACCATGCCTCAGTTTAAAATCAGGACTCAGACACAGTCTACAAACTCTGAGACAAGGCCTTGTTTGATCCCCTTAATGCCGGGCAAACACTCTATCCACAAGACCAAGAAGGTGGTCCCTTAAAGATATGATGTGCTGGTAGGAAAACTGTATGATGTGTCGCAAATATTCCCTATTATATAATCAGGAAAACAAATCCTAACCAGTAGAACAGGTGGTATCTGCATCCATTGCTGATCCCTGTCATTTCTTCAGACTGTGTTTAGGAACCATAGGATCTAAGCATCTGGGAATGATGACATTAATGCCTGTGTCGAGGGTTTTGGCAGATGAGTTGTTGCACTGATAAGATAGGACCAAGTTGATGTCACCCCACTTCACTGACAAATTCCGTAAGTAGTAACTGGTAAATTTAAGCGGCGCAAGTACAGCGGTGACAGGAGGCGCAAGCACACTGGTGACAGGAGGCGCAAGCCCACCGGTGACAGGAGGCGCAAGTACACCGGTGACAAGAGGCACCAGCACACCGGTGACAAGAGGCACCAGCACACCGGTGACAGGAGGCACCAGCACACCGGTGACAGGAGATGCAAGCCCACCGGTGACAGGAGGCACCAGCACACCGGTGACAAGAGGCACCAGCACACCGGTGACAGGAGGCACCAGCACACCGGTGACAGGAGATGCAAGCCCACCGGTGACAGGAGGCACCAGCACACCGGTGACAAGAGGCACCAGCACACCGGTGACAGGAGGCACCAGCACACCGGTGACAGGAGGCGCAAGTACACCGGTGACAAGAGGCGCAAGCACACCGGTGACAAGAGGCACCAGCACACCGGTGACAGGCGGCGCAAGCACACCGGTGACAGGAGGCGCAAGTACACCGGTGACAAGAGGCGCAAGCACACCGGTGACAAGAGGCGCAAGCACACCGGTGACAAGAGGCGCAAGCACACCGGTGACAGGAGGCACCAGCACACCGGTGACAAGAGGCGCAAGCACACCGGTGACAGGAGGCACCAGCACACCGGTCACAGGAGGCGCAAGCACACCGGTGACAGGAGGCGCAAGTACACCGGTGACAAGAGGCGCAAGCACACCGGTGACAAGAGGCACCAGCACACCGGTGACAGGCGGCACAAGCACACCGGTGACAGGAGGCGCAAGTACACCGGTGACAAGAGGCACCAGCACACCGGTGACAGGCGGCACAAGCACACCGGTGACAGGAGGTGCAAGTACACCGGTGACAAGAGGCGCAAGCACACCGGTGACAAGAGGCGCAAGCACACCGGTGACAGGAGGCGCAAGCACACCGGTGACAAGAGGCGCAAGCACACCGGTGACAAGAGGCGCAAGCACACCGGTGACAGGAGGCACCAGCACACCGGTGACAAGAGGCGCAAGCACACCGGTGACAGGAGGCACCAGCACACCGGTCACAGGAGGCGCAAGCACACCGGTGACAGGAGGCGCAAGTACACCGGTGACAAGAGGCGCAAGCACACCGGTGACAAGAGGCACCAGCACACCGGTGACAGGCGGCACAAGCACACCGGTGACAGGAGGCGCAAGTACACCGGTGACAAGAGGCACCAGCACACCGGTCACAGGAGGCACCGGCACACCGGTGACAAGAGGCGCAAGTACACCGGTGACAATAGGGAAAAGCACACCGGTGACAGGCGGCACAAGCACACCGGTGACAGGCGGCGCAAGTACACCGGTGACAAGAGGCGCAAGCACATCGGTGACAAGAGGCGCAAGCACACCGGTGACAAGAGGCGCAAGCACACCGGTGACAGGAGGCACAAGCACAGCCGTGACAGGAGGCACAAGCACACCGGTGACAGGAGGCACAAGCACACCGGTGACAGGAGGCACAAGCACACCAGTGACAGGCGGCGCAAGCACACCGATGACAGGAGGTGCAAGCACACCGGTGACAGGCGGCGCAAGTACACCGGTGACAGGAGGCACAAGCACAACCCTGACAGGCGGCGCAAGCACACCGGTGACAGGAGGCGCAAGCACACTGGTGACAGGAGGCACAAGCACAACCGTGACAGGAGGCACAAGCACAACCGTGACAGGAGGCACAAGCACACCGGTGACAGGAGGCGCAAGCACACTGGTGACAGGAGGCACAAGCACAACCGTGACAGGAGGCGCAAGCACACTGGTGACAAGAGGCGCAAGCCCACCAGTGACAGGAGGCGCAAGCACACTGGTGACAGGCGGCGCAAGTACACCGGTGACAGGAGGCGCAAGCACAACCGTGACATGAGGCGCAAGCACACCGGTGACATGAGGCGCAAGCACACCGGTGACATGAGGCGCAAGCACACCGGTGACAGGAGGCACAAGCACAACCGTGACAAGAGGCGCAAGCCCACCAGTGACAAGAGGCGCAAGTACACCGGTGACAGGAGGCACAAGCACACCGGTGACAGGAGGCGCAAGCACACCAGTGACAGGAGATGCACGCACACCAGTGACGAGCGGCGCAACGGAGCAAATCTGACAGCATGAATGTGTATTTCTCTAGATACAGTTGTAGCATAAAGATCTGAACCATTTCCATGTTCTGATCCAGGGTCTAAGTTTCCAGAGGCAAGGCTGGACCCCAGGGCAAATCCTATTGGCATAAATGTATTATTCTCTTCATAACAAACAAATGTATACAATGTATCTGTTTATTAGAGGGTGGAGATAATGTCGGTTTGCATGTTAGGGTCAAGGTTCTAACTCCTTTGGGAGCGACGGACAGATGAAAAAAGAAGGGCCAGTCTTGGTAGCATATGTGCATTCCTCTCATTATACTCAGCAATTGTACATATGGTTATACGGTGAGGATCTTAAACGGTGTCCAAGTTATAAACTCTTTTTGGCCCTGCCCCTCAGCCCCTAGGAATACTTCCACCCAATTATGGTTGATATCTATCTCTTAGTTCCAGAGAAGAAGTCGCTTAAAGCACTATAGCCAAATTACCCCTATTTGGCCCCACCCCTCAGCCCCTGGGGGGGTCAGCCCCACCATTTGTACAATCCCCACCACCTAAGGATGCTTCCAGTCAAATTTCCAATGGTTCAGAAGAAGTCGTTTCAATAAATTGTTGACGTACGGACGACGGACGACAGACAGACGACAGACGGACGCCACAGTATGGCAAAAGCTCACCTTGGTCCTTCGGACCCGGTGAGCTAATAATTGAGTCTGGACCAGACAATCCTGAGTGACAATGTTAAATCTGGCATACCACCCCTTGCACGAGCTATCACAATGCTTGATTTCTTCGGAGTTCTTCTTGCCATATAAATCTCTTACTTTCATTGCTGGGGGCACAGGTGGCCCAGTCGTCTAAGGCGCCGCAATTAGCTGTGCAGAGTTGCATCCCTTGGGCATGCCAGAAACCTATGATTGTGGGTTCGAATCCCAGTTCGCCCCGATTATGTTTCTAGGTTTGTTAGCACCATACCCATACTCATGGGTTTCACCGAAGTGGTAAACGCCCGAAACCTGCATTAAGCTGACATGCCGTGATATAACTGGAATACTGTTAAAAGTGGCATTAAACCAAACTCACTCACTACTTTCATTGCCAGACACTGGTGTATTTTCCTGTTGTTTCACCTCAAAAGAAAATATCCCCTAGTTTTTTTGCATGCTCATCTTGAGATCCATAATAATCCTCATTTCCAGAGAGTTCTTTTTTTGGACTAAAAACACTGGCGAGGAACACACCTTGCTGTCATCAATGTATTGAAGTCTCCGAATGGCATTCATTTGAAGCCATGCCCAAATGGCCAGGTCAGCTGCCTCTAGCTGGGCCCCTTTCAGATAGAACTGTCGGCCTTCTGGACGGGATACAAGGAGTGGATGGTGGCGGAAGTGTAGCTTGTATCCCTGTGAAAAGGCCTTGAGAATCCAGTGGTCGGACATGATCTGCTTCCAATTGTCGGCATATGACAAAGACGCCCTCCCACTAGACCTGGACCTGGAGGCATATGGCGGGATGGTTGGGTATAAAGTCCAGGTTTGGAACCCATTCGGCTATTGATGACTCCAATGTATGTTTGGATCTATCCCTCCTGCGAATGCCTCGAAAAGAGTATAATTCCCTGAAGGGACACATTTCTTTCTGGCAGGCTCTCTGAATGCTGTGTCCTGAGATGGTTCTCTTGAACGCTTATATACTGTAAATCTTGAATTAAATGTGAAAAATGGTCTATGTTCGCATTAATGAAAGAGTGCCTCGCTGCACACTTTGGATAGCGGAAATACCAACTTGAATATATACACAAACACGGTTTATTGAGCAACAGTTGTAACAAGTATATAACAATTTCATTTCAAGAATAGGAATTACACAAGAGGCATCCAGTAAGTTCTCACTGCTGGTGTCAAGAGTTCTAGACACTCATGTCAAACTAGACATCATTGACCACTCCAATCAGTGAACTGTTGTTGGTTCAATTATCTTGCCTTTGAACTTCCTGAATGCCAGTTAACAAAATAAACATATAAACTGGGTGTTGTTTTTAGGAAAACACTGTTTATTGTTATTACAGAAGTGCTTAACTCAGTGCTAATAAGCGGCTTTATTTGTGTTTGATGGATTAAGGTAAGGACATTCAACTGGGGAATGGGGTGCGGGGAGTCGCATTGATATTGAGTCGCATTTTTGGCTAGGGGTCAGCAGTCGTATTAATTTGGAGATGCATTAATTTCAAGATTGACAGTACTTAGATGGGAATGAGGATCCATGCGCCTTAACTGCTAAGTTGATGGTGAATACTTGAAATCGTTCAGACATATCCTGGGGCACGTCTGTGATGATCTTGCCAAGTTTATCGTTGAAGATTTGGCTGACAGATACTACTATACAGAATGGATCTTAGCAAGCAGCTGTTGCCTACTGTTGCATCCATAACAGCTGAGATGACATCCAGACCTGAATGGATAGTAGGTTTTCCTGCATACGGACTGTGGATTAGTTCGACCTGATCTGTTCAGATAGACCTGTATCTGCCTTAGGAGGGACTTCTGTCGCGACGAATTAAGGCAACAAACAAATTTATGTACGCCCCAATATCCATGGAGTGCTTGTTAGCCGTGGCCAAATACTTAAAGTGCCGAGGTTAACGTGATCTTAGTATGCAGTGTACAGACTAGTTTGAGGAAGCCTTTATCAAGAACTTGGGACTCCGGGAGAGGACAGTCGCGGTTCTGGTGAAAGCATTCCTTCAACGCAGGTAAGGAGAGACCATCATTGTGTCTCAACTTAAGGAGCTTGTCTGAGGCTTGGTTTATGACGTGAGCCGAGAAGCGTAATTTCATGTGTAAAAGAGTTATGTTAAGAGTACCATGCCAGGATGCTGGTTTTCTCTTCAACATTTTCGTTAGGCATATACACGTGTGAAGTATGGGTATCCATGCACTGATGCTGGTAATGTAGCCACACACGCAACCCGCACTAATTTTTTAAGCCTCAAAATAAGCAGAAAAATTACTCCCCCTGCATTTGTATGGTTAAATATAACTAAAACTCGAAATTGAATATCAATCCTGAATAAGCACACACAAGAAACAAGTGACGTTTTCCGACCTTTTCATGGAGAAGATCTGTGAGTTGTTTTGTGCTGCTGCAGTGATAAGTAGTTGTGTATAGTTGACAGCGAAGACCACTTTTGTTGAATATATGAAGATTTAGTTATAGTTTGATTGTAGCCAAAATACAGGAATTTGGCAATGATGTAGAAGAGGTAGAGGTTTCTTAAGAATTATGTTTCTGGTGTGCCCAAGGGACGCAACTCTGCACAGCGAATTGAGGCGCCTTACACATTTTCTAAACTCTGTGATGATGTTTATGGCTAAGAAAATTGACATTTCTTGAAAAGCGCACTTTGCAATTTTTGTCATTACTGTAAGTAATAATCCTATCGGCAGAATCACTTGTTTTCATTTTATAAGTGATTGCAAGCATGCACCTATCTTCAATAATTATTCATCACTATATTTCATGATTCTATTTCAAGTGGTGAGGACTATACTGGTGCCTATGTCCTCACTACTTCCGACTTAGTTTACAAGGGAATACACATGGTAATCATAATCTCTGCATATAAAACAAGGCCTCTTAGAACAGGAAATACAATTTAATTGGTAAATCATCATGTCTAGTGATGTTTAATCTCTAAGTTCAAATTTGTATTGAGCAAGTTTAATTGTTATGACCTGTTTATTTCCCTGAATACGCTGAAGGGATACGATGTCATTTTCTTCTGCGCAAGACAAACATGTTTAAATTACAAATGTAGGGATTGTGTATGCACTGGTGACGTGCTTCATTTCGATTTGCTTTAAATACGGGGTATATAAATTAGCATCGATTTTGAAGGCTTGTACAGGGGGGTCACCTTATACGTGGGGTTGCTCTATAAATGGCAATATACGGTAGGTTTTTTTTCAAACGAATTGGTAGAAGAAAATTATCTCACTGGCGAAACTGATCAGCATTAAATTAATAATACACACTACCTTGCAGCTAGTTTGATATATCATGAGTGACTGTCATCAAATATTATTAATAACAACAATGAGTAAAGATTTCCATTAACTTTTATTATTTCTAAGAGTTTTCTTTTAAATCAATGTTTAAATAAACATATTCTCTTCATAACTGACCATAGGGATTAAGCATCCTGACAACCACGTCCCCACCCATAACTACTTCCTACTTTTAACTTACCATTTCTGCTTTCCCTGGAAGTCAAACATCCCTGGTTTGGGAACACGGCAGGGTCCCTCCTTCACCTGAAACATTCATGCACACAACCAGATAAAGATGACTCCATTATGACATGAAGGATGTGATGATACAATATCAGGATAGAAAGGTCACACAAACTGATTTGTTTCATGGCCGATCATTTTTGTATTTATCTAGACTGCTAGTTGCACTGCTGGTCCCACCTCAAACTGACAGTACATGTGTGAGTGAGTGAGTTTGATTTTACGCCGCTTTTGGCAATATTCCAGCAATATCACGGCTGGGGGCACCAGAAATGTGACAGTACATGTGGTACGTGTCAATCGTGTAGTACATGTTGCTGTAACACTTACCACAACATCCTTCAACTTTATCAGTAATGTTTAAGATGGTCTATATCTTTTTGCCTAAACAATGATATCTTAATTATCATGTCATAAAATATATGTATCATGATTCAGTGATACATCAGGCATGACCACAACTGCTCATTTTGTGACAATTGGGATCAGCTGATCTTTCATTCCAGGTCGCTTTGTTGACATTTTGCAATCAGTTTTTAAAGTGTTTTTCCTGATGTTTGATTTCCACTCTTTTAAACATGAAATATTCTTTAATTGTATAAGTATCTATACATATATCATATCGCCGATTAGGCTATATGCACACATTTCAGTACAATGGCCCTGTGATAGTATGTGAAATGTCCTTTGCAGCAAGTAAGGTTGGTCAGAGAATTGTGAATTCTGACAGCAACATAAGTATTTAGTAGGAATATTACCTAAATAGGTGAGTAAAGAAAGTTCAAGATTTTGTGAAAGAAAAATGTATTGACAAATTATGTCAACTACACATCATAATGATCAAAAACAAGAGATGGAAATCCATGAAATCTATTTTGGACTTGTAATATGGGTGATGAATGGTGTGTAAAGACAGAATGTATGGATGGTTGTTGACAGTTGTCATGATTACATTTCAATCAAATCAAATCTTGAATATTTTGAATATTTCATAATTATTAGAATATCAGAATATAATCTCTGTTTAATATTTCTGCTTTCAGGTCGAAAGTATCCATAGAAAGACTTCAGAAGACTGGATTCTTGACATAAAGTTGTGGAACCAGTAGTATCCCAAGGACTGCTGCCTGGAGCAACCTCCCATGCCCCCCTGTAATCACTTCAGCCCCCCTGTAATCACTTCAGCCCACCTGTAATCACTTCAGCCCACCTGTAATCACTTCAGCCCACCTGAAATATGACTGGGGAAGATATCGCCTGCATTACATTCTGCATAAGCCTGTATTCCACGTTAGGCGATGATGCGTACCTTCAGGAAAGAGTAATAACAACATGTGTATGGTGATGTCAAGAAACACTGATTGTTTGTGCCTGCAGTTGACGTATGATGCACACTTCGACTGGAATCAATTGATCCAGTCTAGAAAGTGTAAAAAAAACATGGTGTGACACGTGTGATTACTAAGACAAAGAATTTCATATTGAAAAATATTGAAATAGTAGGTCTTTGAAAGGCATTTAGAAGTGATACGCATAAGGAAGAGAATACTGTCGGTGCTAATTACCTAGCTGGCTCCAATTTGCCCTTTGCAATGTCCATTCTTACATCTATCAGTGCTAATTACCCCCGGCCTCCCGTTTGCCCAGTGTCCATTGCCTTTACTTATCTATGATAACTTAGTACTGGCTTCCATACTATCAGCGCTAATTACTGTAAAGTGTTGGCTTCCATTGTCTATTGCTAATCACCTATCAGCACCAATCATTTGTTGGCTTCCCTTGTTAGTTTCTACCCTTTGTTATTTTCCACCTTTTGATATCTTATTAATTTTGTTGTCCTTACATGTACATATATATGCTCTCTGCCTCATGGCATTCCTAATGGGCATGGCCTCAGCCCTCCATAATCAAGAATCCAAAAAACACAAAAAAATCCTAATACTTACCGACTCCCTTAGTGGACTGCAAGCCCTCCAAAACAAAAATACCAAAAACCGACCTAAATTAATAAATCAAATACTTAAAAGCTCCAACGACCTAACTAAGGCAGGCAAACAAATAACCTTCTTGTGGATACCCGCCCACGTAGGAATATACGGTAATGAAAACACCGATAAAGCAGCTAAACTATCCCTCAAAATCCCAGAAATAAGCTTAAACTTACCCATCTCAAAATCAGAAATTAAAAGTGTAAACAAGCAAAAAATCACAAAAAATGGCATAACCTATATCTAAACTCAAACAGCCAAATCAAAAAAGTACTCAGCAAACCACTAACCAAACCCAAAATTCTCCATCCATCCAAAAAAATCGACAGAGTAATCACTAAACTCCAAACAGTACACACCAACCTAAATAACCACCTAAAAAAATTAAAAAACACACTACAGGTAACTGCCCACACTGCAAACAACCAGAAACCCCAGAACACACACTCATCCACTGCACACACTACCTAACACATCGAACCGCATTACAAACCACCCTCAATCTAAACAAGGCTCTATCTCTAGAAGCAATACTAAACCCACAAAATAAACTAGAAAACTTCAAGGCCTTAGGCGTATTCTTAATAAAAACGGAACTAATAAAACGCATCTAAAAACACAATAACCTACCAAATCAAAATCACATAAACAAACAAACATCCACCATACCCAGCTCCCTTAGTTCTCCTCCCCAATCCCATCGGCATCTATTCCAAATCTCAAAATTCCCAAATTCTATATAAGCAACCCCTAAAACCCCCCTCTTGGGTTGCACAGACCACTTTCGCCCCTTTCGGAAACACATTACATGGCCTGGCCGGGCCCGTGTGCGAAATACGCATTAGTCGGAAAGCGCACGTTAAATCTCCAAAGTAAGTAAGTAAGTAAGGCATTCCTTCACCTGATGAAGGAGTAAGCATATACTCCGAAACGTTGTGTTCCTCATAACAAAGAAGTTGACATCCATACATTCTCTTCCTTTTGGTAATAGTATTTTACTCAATCAAACATTCGAAAATTTGGTGTTTAATGATTGAAGGAAGAGTTACTTCTGTCGTAAGGTGGGGGTTTCCATTCACCCCTCCCACTGAACAGCAGAGAAGGTGAAGATGCAGGCATCATTATTCTCTATGTACATCTATGTACCAGACTACGAATTTCGTATGAAAAAAAGGGCAGTACTTTCCCAATGACTAGTACTGTTGCACGCAAGGTGAACGTTTAATAGAATAATATACAGTATGGCGGCAAGCAGTCAGTAGACTTACTCTGCCTTTGTCCTTCAACTGTTAGATGATTCCAGTCGTGCATCAGAGCTGAGGGGTAGTCAACCACCTAAGGTGCTCATTCCTCCTGAGCAGCCTCTCTTGCTGGATTTAGGGAAACCCTTTCCTCCATCAGACTTGCGGAATGAAGCCTCTCCTAGTCCATGAAAAGAGTCTGGTTGAAGTGGTCTTATGTCAGGCGTGTTTTGCAGGGAAGCTCTCATCAGTCTGTGAGCTCCTGGCTGGAGAGCCATATTCCTCTCATGCTGCTTGACTAGCTGGAGATTGGTGAACATGGGCGAGATGGCATAATTAAAGAGGGTCAGGCTCTATCTTTACACCGTAATGTTGGTAAGGTGAGCCTTGCGGGAATTAAGTTTCACCTGCCAAGTCATCACAAGCATTACTGCAACAAATGGTGTTCTCTTGAAAGTTGAGGTCCATGGTTGACTGGCATGAGGCAAGAGCAGAGACCCCAAAGACGATAAGCAGAGGTTGAGAGACTTGACAACGGCTGTTCATATGATCGTGTCGTGCTGCGATCGTTTGTCGTAAGATCATCTGTCATACAATCACGATCTGGAGAAGAAAGTTGAGTCTGGGTGCTGTCATCTGCAGATCCCTGGATGAAATCGTACTCTAACGATCGTTGGCATATAATGCTATGGCAAAGGAGACTGTGAAGTGGTAGTAGGAGGTTGGCTGACAAAATGGAGGTGAAGGTGATTGACTGGATGGGTCAGGCACGGTGGGTCAGGCACGGTGGATCAGCCACGGTGGGTCATGCACGGTGGGTCATGCAAGGATGGGTCATGCACGGTGGTTCATGCACGGTGGTTCATGCAAGGATGGGTCATGCACAGTGGATCATGCACGGTGGTTCATGCAAGGATGGGTCATGCAAGGATGGGTCATGCACGGTGGGTCATGCAAGGATGGGTCATGCACGGTGGGTCATGCACGGTGGTTCATGCAAGGATGGGTCATGCAAGGATGGGTCATGCACGGTGGGTCATGCACAGTGGGTCATGCACGGTGGTTCATGCAAGGATGGGTCATGCAAGGATGGGTCATGCACAGTGGGTCATGCATGGTGGTTCATGCAAGGATGGGTCATTCAAGGATGGGTCATGCACGGTGGGTCAGCCACGGTGGGTCATGCACGGTGGTTCATGCAAGGATGGGTCATGCACAGTGGGTCATGCACGGTGGTTCATGCAAGGTTGGGTCATGCACAGTGGGTCATGCACGGTGGTTCATGCAAGGTTGGGTCATGCAAGGATGGGTCATGCACGGTGGGTCAGGCACGGTGGTTCATGCACGGTGGGTCATGCACGGAGGGTCAGCAAAGGAGGGTCATGCAGGGATGGGTCATGCACGGTGGTTCATGCATGGTGGGAGGCATTATAGCCACTAATGACGGAGGACCATGCAAGGTCTGAGGAGCGGCAGCATATAGATTTTCCAGTGTGATGTCTGGGTGATCGGCTGCGTCAAGGGTGGGTTTGACGAGATCGGACGACATCTGCTTTGTTAAGAGAGATGTTTGGAGCAGACAAATAGGTACTTGATGAAAAGTTCATAAGCAAGAAGGAGTGCATGTAGTATCAGCAATACATTCAAGATTGCAGTCGGGACACCTGGAATGGGGGTCCTGGGCAGACTTGGGTCTACAGAATACAATGAATCATAGTGGTAATAAATGATAGTAAACTGCCCAAAAAGAGAAGTGAGAGGCAAGGGGTATGAAACCAAGGGGCGGGAAACCAAAATGGCAGGATAGCAAAAGTGTGGGAAAAACAGTTCCACTATTAGAGCTGAACACCTGTCTGACAAATCCCAAATAAAACGGAATGTAGTATAATCAGGGAGTATGGTACAATACATATTGTGAAAATAAAATACAAAGAAAAGAATGAAACCCAATTGCAGGAAGGATAAAGGGACAGTTGAAGAATCTTTCTGAGCTCTGGGACCAAGGTGTTCTCACCACGGTTACAGAAGGGCACGGGAGGTAAGTCCAGGGAGCGCTCATTAGGATACTACTGGTTCAACAACTTTATTCATATCAGGAATGTACCACTTAAATCTTATTCCTGTTCTGCTAGGTATTGTTTTATATGCCGAAATGGAGATTACCCTGTATTTTCTAATAAACTAAGCCAGAAATAGCAATCATGTGGACACACATTTTCTACCAATCTTCCTTAACACAAAATGTTTATTTAAGGATTGAAATTGTATTTGTACTGTGAAGCCCATCATGGAATTTGTTCACGTGAGGCACTGTCTTCATCAGCTGATGAACGTCAACAAATACAACTTCAATCCTTATATTGACAGATACATAAATCATAACAAAACAATCCATTAAACATAAAACTTTAATTATTGAAAGCGAACTATATCAACGAGGAGGGTCGTGACGTCATCCATCTCAAACATCCCATTTGGAGTGACATCCCTTGGTTTATAAACAGCAGGAAATGGTGGCTTCAGCAATGTCATTCACTTGAAATAAAAGTTGCACCCAGTAAAGTGAGAGTTGGAAAGAAATCCAGACCCGGCTGTTGCTGAAAATGGATTGATATTAACATTCTGTGATCTTTGGGCATGTGTTTGAGACTTACTATAGCTGCTGATGACGGGGATTACCGCTTAAGGCGAGGTTGGATTTCCAAAAACAATACACGACAGTGTGCATGAAGCTCAGTGATTTCTTTTGGTAAGTCGGGCATTCTTTGTTATAACTTTGAATGGACATCATTCGCCATGGTTCTGGTATCAGTGATGTCATGGGCTGGTAGCGTTCGCTCAATGCATGCGACACGTTCGATACTAGCAAACAGATGTTTGTGACAACAATTATATCATAAAAAAAGATCAAAATTCATTCTTTATTTCAAAACTAAGATCATGGCATTAGTTTTGATGGAATGTGCACAATCTAAAAGTAATTGTCATATGATAACTCCGTCCCTATTTGACATTATTTTTAGACATTGAAGAAGTCCCCTAAAGTAGTTCTGTATGTCTCCGCTCGACTGACAACGTAATCACTTGACATGCTGACGTTCATCGGGAAATGAACGACAGTCAGTTTGGTAGTGTTCTCCTAGGCGTGGTCACCCGCTACTGTCAATATTACTAAAACAGGATATTTACCAACACAAAACACACAAGCAAGATAACCTCTTTATTATATAATGTCATTCTTAAATTCTGTCATCGAAGAACCTGTTCTCATAAACATTACCCAAACACTGCAAATTTTCCTGGCATGCACACATTAATATGTATTAAGTCAGAAGGTAAGTGACTTGTCAGTCAGACAGTGACAACAGTCAAAACAGATCCAACTGAAACCTGTTTCTTACACAGTGGCGTAACTACATAAAGGGCATTGTGGCAATCCATCAGTCTGCCTGCGAGAGTAACTGCCCTTTATCAAAGGGAAGCTACGTCTATGAGACATCACGTTTGTTTAGAGTCTGCCTTTCCTGTCATAAAGTTACAAAGCGCAGAGTCCGAAGTACATACTGCGACAAAATGAAACAAGGTAAGGATTCTAATAAAACTGAGGTATTTTTCTTTATTTCTATACTTATCCTCCATTACTCCGAAATGCATTGACAGCTTGTTCTTGAGATAGAGCTGTGTGAGGTCTTGCTGAAGAAAAGTTGTTCCAACTGGATGAGTGGCTAACCCTATCACACAGCTCCAATGTGACCACGAAAGGGGTGTCGTCACAAATCAGCACATTACTGCTGAAAACAGAGCATTTGAAGACATGGTGGGGAGGCATGAAGACATCAGATGTAGCCAAAATGGGTCCATGTAAGGCGCCTGAAGCGTCACGGGAGGTGCCAGATTGAAGGCTGCATGTCTAAAACCCATAGGCGCCTTGGATAGTTGGTGCAACTGAGAGAGGCTGAGTAGGCTCGGACTAATATGACATTAGTGTTCCTTTTCAATGAGTACATGCACATTATATCTTTTGGTCTGACAAAATAAATCATGTACATTTCTTATTTTGTTCCCACTAGACCATACCTTCTTTAGTATGTATAGTCATCAACACAACATTACAAAAACATTCATTTTCTAAATAAGGTCAAGATTTGAACCTATAATTTAGGAAATTACCCTTTTAAAACAACTTAAATAGTTTAACATGCATTTTATCCCTTTGTTAATGTAAAAAAATTTCCCTTGAAAAGGCAAAGATTGTGCAAGTTTAGTTCAAAACAACCTGTGCAATTAGCAATTACTGTCCATGGTCAGTATTCAGTAGTCAGCAGAATAAAAGCAGCTGCTGATGTCATCCGTGACACAATACTTTTGACAAAAGTGGCAGACATTGGCTTCATTGTGAAAAATTGAAATACCATCATTCATGTAGAAAGGCATATTGAGACAATCATTACCCCTATTCATCACAGAAGTACAGTGAAAGAAAATGTTATTTTAGAATGACAATGCCATCATTTTTATCCATACATAAAGTATCCAGTGATGCAGGTCTCAGACGTTTACCACTTCGGTGAAACCCACGAGCACGGGTATGGTGCTGACAAACCTAGAAACATAATCGGGGCGAACCGGGATTCGAACCCACAATCATAGGTTTCTGGCGTGCCCACAGGACGCAACTCTGCACAGCAAATCGCGGCACCTTAGACAACTGGGCCACCCGTGTCCCCCAATGAACCAGACACATGGAATGTTTCAAGCCTGACATGCTCTGAATGATGGGCTTAGTGTCCCTACAATAAAGACGTTAATTTGTTTGTTCCCCCCATGTCATGCTGTCATAAGTTAAGACTTTTTGTAACGTAACTATCGCAGCAACTTGAAGCAACCACGACCACTTAAATAGGACAATTGATCAGAAAAGTATTAGATAAAATATGTGTCACAAATATATCTGAAATATGTTATCTGATTGTCATTGTGTATGTCAATAAACATACACTTGTCTTATATCTTGTGTAGAAGTTTTGGGACTCAGTCATCAGACTAATCCAGTTGTAAAATTACAGATAAGAAGCAGGGGCTGCACTTAACCATATACAGTCACCCCCGTTAATCCGACATGGTTGGTTGCATATGATTATGTCGGATTAACGAGTATGTCGGATACACAAAATAAGGTAGTATCAATGTTCGTGATGAAAATTGGAAACAACACGATAGATAACGATTCAAATATGTTGTAATAAAAAAAGGAATAAGGAAATATTCATATTGCTGTATTACATTGTTAGCGGAATATGTTTTCTAATCATGCAACCTCTAAAGTTTAACACCAAATTGACGTTCTGACGTGACCTGTAATGGGATGTCCTCAGCGGTAGCGAAAAACATGTATCCGATTTTAATGAGATTGTGGTAATATAGGCATGTGATTAATCCTGTTTTGTTTAATAAAAGCAGTAATTGTTTTTTGTTAAGCAAGTTTATCTCTGCAGCCGTTTAAATATGCAGCTACTTGCCAACTCGTCTCGCATAAAAAAACGGGGCTGTGTACTCGCGGGCAAATGACCACGGAATACACTGATCACTGTGTGGGATTAACGAGACTGATTAATGAGTGATTTCAGCAATTTGTTGCAAATAAGGTGTGTCAGAGTCGGAATGCAAGACTGCCGGATTTACGGGTCTAAATAGCGCTGATTTAAATCGGTTCCCATCAATGGTATCGGATAAAGCCTATTGTCGGATTAATGAGTGTCGGATTAATGAGTCTTGACTGTATAGTTTGAAGAATTGTCATGTAGAGGTTTTGAAGGGATATCAAAACCAACATCTGCATTGTGTTTCTTAAATACCAACTGCTGACAGCAGCTCACAACTCTACCAACGCAACTCATCAATTTGTGGCAAAGATAATAAAATATCCATTTCATTGGTTGCTTGTATGAATAAACTGGATATGACTCCTCATAATTTTTTCTCTGGTTCAGTAAAATTAACTGACCATGCTGACAGTGTCCTATTGACACTAACAACATTTCAACCTAGGCAATGTGCTGAAGACAAATAACTACCACAGCATTGTGCATCACATACTTCCTACATAGCCATACCCATGTGAGGTTCTGGGAGCTAATCATATCCTTTGTTCATATGGCAAACAGACTCATAGAGACTTTTGTGCATTTCATTATTTTAGATGTGGTTTCTTTAGGAATGAACATGAATGGGATGTGCACCACAAGGGCCCATCCCTATTTTCAAGCACAAAAAAAGAAAGCATTAATCCTTGAATGGCACAGTGACATGTTGGCACATAATGTACTGTCTCATCATATGAGTATTACAAATGTGAGAGAGACTTTTCAACACTATTTCAATAAAGAGTCTCACTAAAATCTGCCACATAACAATATAAAAATAACCATATCAAACCTGCTTGAATCTTGCATAAAAGTATAGCAATGCTTCATTTTCTATTTTCCCTGCTATTGTCCTGACAAATTTTGTTGCCGATTTGAACAGCTCCTCCATATTGTCCATGTGACCATCCAACCAGTAGACACCAGTCCCCTGCGTCAGCCCCAGGCTCAGCCTCAGCCTAAAAACAGCAGCAGCACAGGATTGGTCGAACCTGAAACGTCCATAAAACAATAATGTGGACAGCATACAATATATCAGTCATTCCACTGTATTGGTACAGCATACAATATATCAGTCATTTCATTGTATTGGAACAGCATACAATATATCAGTCATTTCATTGTATTGGTACAGCATACAATATATCAGTCATTTCATTGTATTGGTACAGCATACAACATATCAGTCATTTCATTGTATTGGTACAGCATACAATATATCAGTCATTTCATTGTATTGGTACAGCATACAATACATCAGTCATTTCATTGTATTGGTACAGCATACAATATATCAATCATTTCATTGTATTGGTACAGCATACAACATATCAGTCATTTCATTGTATTGGTACAGCATACAAACTATCAGTCATTTCATTGTATTGGTACAGCATACAATATATCAGTCATTTCATTGTATTGGTACAGCATACAAAATATTATTCTTTTCATTGTATCGGTACAGCATACAATATATCAGTCATTTCATTGTATCGGTACTGCATACAATATATCAGTCATTTCATTGTATTGGTACAGCATACAAAATATCAGTCATTTCATTGTATTGGTACAGCATACAAAATATCAGTCATTTCATTGTATTGGTACAGCATACAATATATCAGTCATTTCATTGTATTGGTACAGCATACAATATATCAGTCATTTCATTGTATTGGTACAGCATACAATATATCAGTCATTTCATTGTATTGGTACAGCATACAACATATCAGTCATTTCATTGTATTGGTACAGCATACAATATATCAGTCATTTCATTGTATTGGTACAGCATACAATACATCAGTCATTTCATTGTATTGGTACAGCATACAATATATCAATCATTTCATTGTATTGGTACAGCATACAACATATCAGTCATTTCATTGTATTGGTACAGCATACAAAATATCAGTCATTTCATTGTATTGGTACAGCATACAATATATCAGTCATTTCATTGTATTGGTACAGCATACAATATATCAGTCTTTTCATTGTATCGGTACAGCATACAATATATCAGTCATTTCATTGTATTGGTACAGCATACAATATATCAGTCATTTCATTGTATTGGTACAGCATACAATATATCAGTCATTTCATTGTATTGGTACAGCATACAATATATCAGTCATTTCATTGTATTGGTACAGCATACAATATATCAGTCATTTCATTGTATTGGTACAGCATACAACATATCAGTCATTTCATTGTATTGGTACAGCATACAATATATCAGTCATTTCATTGTATTGGTACAGCATACAATATATCAGTCATTTCATCATAACAAAAACTGCACAAAGGTGTTGCTGCTCACCAGGGACAATCAAAGACAATCAAATCAAGACAATGTTGTTGAGTGAGTGTGCCGATGTATTCAATATTGGAGTTATAAAAGCAAAGGGACAATATGCAAAGGCTTCACTTATTGTGCCCATTCTGGAAATAGCTTGAATGTTAGCCATTGAGTCAGGAGAACATGGCTGTTAATCAGCTTCGTAATGTTGTCTGTTTGATGTGAAAGTATAATATCAATGTGCTGTTATTTCATTATGGTTATAAAATTCATGTAAAGCATTACCGTATTTAGTAAAACAGTATGGGTGATGTGAGATGTTTGTCAACAATGGTCCAAATTTCAATAAGATTATGGTGCCTAAAACAAATTATCATTAACTATTGTATTTCAGATCATTCATTAATATATCTATTTAAAAAAGCTTACCATATTCGCAGTAATAAGTGCCCCAAGAATTTAGAAAATTGACAAAGGGAGCTCTTCTTAAAAACATACACATATTGTATCTCCATGTATTGTCATAGATTGAGCAGTAAGAGAAAGGTTTCGGGTCAAACATCAAAGATACTTAAACTTTTCTTGACATAGATCATAGACCCCTTCCACATGGCTGTTATCTGTAAAATGCTTTGTAATATACACACAATCAATGGACTGCCAAGTAAACGTTCAGAGCTTCAAGAACCAGGACATAAAGCAGATGGTAAAACAAATCTGGTCAGGGGTCAGGTATTAACTTCATACCAAATGAGAATACAGTAAAACTTAATCTAAATCCTATTATCAAATCTGAATAAGTGCCATATATCCTACCAAAATACCATCTCTCTTGATATGCTAAATCATTAGTTTCTGGGAAGATTATGCCTAAACATTTTCAGTCATAAATTAACTATATTTGCCAATTCCATTCCAATGTTCATAAAGTTTATGAATAGTTGTTTCTAATAAATTTTCAAACACTTAAAATGATGTTTTACATTTCTAGACCTTAAGGAATCTGGGAAGAAAATTCTGAAACAATTAGATATTTAAAAATATTATATATTGATTTTAATGTCTTGAACAAATCTGAGTACCATTATGGTGGTCAGCAGATGGACAGATGACGGACAACATGCCAGATCACTTGGACCTTCAGTCATTGTGAGCTTAAAGAATGTGTAATTTCATGGTTTTAAGTTTCAGATCTCAAAAGATCTATTTAGAGGGATATCATGTCTGGTCATTTTATAACAGTAGACAGTTTGTGATCTGATACAACTTGTTCAAGGAATTTATATCCAATTTGACAATTTAACTTTAAATTTAAAGGGCAAAAAAGTGAAAAAAATGAACGGATTTTCTTGCGAATATCAATTTTCCTGAATACATTTAGTCAAATTTCGTGAGAGAAAAATTCAAAATATTCGTAGAAAGTCCTTAAATGTCTAATTAAAAGTGCTAAAATCACACTCCTTGTTATCAGCTTCCAAACAAACCTATTTGGGGGCGTGGCCTAAAGGTACCGGCGCAGTGCTGACAACTGTTTCATTCGCTGATATGTTTGCCACGTTTATCAATCTTGTGATTCTCTGCGGTTTTACAGATACTGTTTTTGCTTTTTCTGTTAATCCTACGAAAATAACAACATGGCATACATTGTTGAACGTGTGAAACAACCTTTAATCTGGACATTGTAAATAATTAAACTAACAATTAACAATGGGTAACTAGTGTTTTATTACTAACATCCTGTTTGGGTAATAAAACACCAGCTGCCCCAAGCCCTATTCCACCCAACAAATGCCTGTCAGTGAAGGCGTCTTCAGTGTTGTTACTAAGGTGACATAAGCTGTGCACACGGTAATGAAATGGATGAACAGACAGTAAAAAGACAATGTATTATTGAATCCGAGGCACAAGCAGGCAGACCGAGCTTAGGCCCGATTGTCCCGATTGTCCCGATCGTTGAAATTGCACAGCACATCAAACACCGGGAGCCCGTTTTAACCTGCACTAGGGGTAATCCCCTTACTGGAGGAATTTTTCATTTGGGGGATGATTTTGTCTGTCGTTTTTTATCGTCTATTTTACACTATTCCGTTTTTCAAATATAATTTTGGTCAAGCATTTGTGACTCCAGTTGCCCTAAATCAATAAAATCTGCAAAGTTGCTATGCTGACTTTACCTATCCTTTAATGATTAATACTTATCCCGTCTCACATGTTGCAATCAAACAAACATGAGACACTGCTCTTAAATGTATCCATTCGTAGAAACTTAAAACACCTTCACAAAAGCAACCAGTCCATGACGCCTGCCCCCAAGCCCCCATTCTTGTCTTCTCCAGCTGGAGTACAGTCTAGACGATTCAACACTGAGTGGGGTTGGACAGTTGGGCAGTTTAGCCTGGGAGACATGAATATCAAATATTAAATTCAATGGAAAATTATCAAATATTGACTTATCCTGTCTCACATGTTGCATACTTTATCCAACAGTCATGATGGAGGGAGGTCGATTTGTCCACTTACATGGCCACCTCTCATGTGCATTACACAAACTGATTTCCGTGCAGTAACCAGTGTAACATCAATAGGTACCCCATGCCAAATGACTAAGATCATTCTCTCCTGATAATAGCCATGTACAGTCGGGTCCCATTAATCCAACATGGTTGGTTGCATATGATTATGTCGGATGAACGAAATTAAGTAGTATGAACGTATGTGCTCGAAAACTACACGATAGATAACGATACAAACCCGTAATTTAAAAAATAAAAATGAAAATTTCATATTGTTATGTTACATTGTCAGTGGAATATGTTTTCTAATCATGCAACCTCTAAAGCTCAACACAAAATAACTGTTACCGGTAGAGACTGTTTGACTATGACACGGGCTGTGTACTCATGGGCAGATGACCATGGAGAACGCTGATCACCGTGTTAGATTAACCAGACTGATTAATGAGTGATTTCGGTAATTCTTTGCAAATTAGGTGTGCCAGAGTTGGAGTGCGAGACTGTCAGATTAACGGGTCTAAATAGGACTGATTTAATCGGTTCCCATCATTAGTGTCGGATAAAGGCGATAGTCAGATTAACGAGTGGCTGATAAACAAGTCTTGACTGTACATGATAACAAGTATTTGTCACAAAGTGACGAAATGTCCCCCGCCTGTATATACACCATAGTACCAAATATGAAGACAATCTAGGGATTAGTTCTTGAGATATTGCGGCAACACCGTTTTCCAACTCAAAAAACAGATTTGCCTGCTGTGACCTTGAAAATGGGGTCAAGGTCACCAAAACCGACTGGTGTATGCGGTGTCTGTATATACACCTTAGTTCCAAATATGAAGACAATCCAGCGATTAGTTCTTGAGATATCGCTGCAACACCGTTTTCCAACTCCAAAAGCAGATTTGCCTGCTGTGACCTTGAAAATGGGATCAAGGTCACCAAAACCGACTGGTGTCTGCGGAGTCTGTATATACACCATAGTTCCAAATATGAAGACAATCCAGTGTTTAGTTCTTGAGATATTGCGGCAACACCGTTTTCCAACTCCAAATCAGATTTGCCTGCTGTGACCTTGAAAATGGGGTCAAGGTCACCAAAACCGACTAGTGTCTGCGGAGTCTGTATATACACCATAGTTCCAAATATGAAGACAATC